TATTCCACAACTTTTCTGAAAGCTTAAAATGTTTTAAGGAAGATGGTGGTGGGGTTATGTCTGTTTTCTACTGCTGTGTTACAAATCAGTGCAAGTTAATAAGTTTAAAACAACATACTCATGAGTTGTCTCAGAGTCTCTGTGGGCTGGAGTCTGGGCATGGCCTACTTAGGTCCTGTGTACAGTGTCCTGCCAGGCAATGGTCAGGCTGTATTCCTTTGTGGACCTCAGGGTCCTCTTCCTGGCAGGATTCAGTTCCTCACGGTTGCAGAACCAAGGCCCCAGCCACTAGAAGCCACTGCAGAGTCCCCACCTCTCTCTCCTGGGCCCAGCATCAAACCTACCCTAGCCCCTCCAGTCCTTACCAGACTCAACACACTCCTGGGCTGCTCCCAGGACCTGGGGAGACCTTACCCGGTGACCTTCAGCCTCTTGGGGACTCCAGCACACCTGTCCAGCTGCCTCTTTGGCAGCCACAGCAAATGGCTCATGGGAACCCAAATAGATGCTTTGGCCCAGCTCCTTTTAAGCCTAGGTGACACCCTCACACACACACTCCTTCCCTCTGTCCCCTCACTTGGCACCAGCCCTTACCTGTATGCCTTCCCCACCCTAGGCCCCGGAAATTGTCTGAGCTGGGAATCTGGCTATGGGGATCCTTCCTTCCACTGTCTTGTCTCCTGCTCCCAGCACAGTGGGATTCCTCACCAGAGCCTCTCCAGGGGCCCCCACTTCTCCCAGGGCCCTTGGCATAGGCTCTTCCAGGACACACGTCTACTGGATTTCAGCCTCCCTTGGAGGTTGTCTCCTCCTAAAAGCCCTCCCCATGCCCTCCTGGGTTGGGACCAATGGGCACATGCCCCTGAAAGCCTGCATGAGCACTGGATCGGGGAGGCCACTCAGTAAATCCAGACCCTATGGGCAAGGGGCAGCACAGGAACAGCCCCCACCATGAGCCCCATTGAGGACCTGCCTCCCAGTGCACAGGGCCCAGGCTGTAGGTGAGGGAAGGGAAAGATCAACAGCCCCCATCCCAGGCTGACTGGCACCCTCCCCTCTCACCTGAGCAGGGGATTCCAGAAATGCCAGGGGGAGGGGTCAGTGGTAGTACAGACCCAGCCCAGTGGCCTGTCCTCTATACCCAGTCCACATACACAGGCTGCTGTGGGCATTTCTGTTTATTTATTTAAAACAAACATCTGTGCGCTATGTACAAGTCTGGCTCCCAGGAGGGTGGGTGGGGCCCAAGCTGGGTGGGACATGGGGGGGGGTCTGGCCCCTTGCGTGGACAGCAAGGCCAGCTTCTCCCTTCCTGTCACCCACTGACCAGCCTGAGGCAGCCCCTCTCCAACCAAGCCGATAGCTTCCCGTGGATGACTACTTTCCCACAGGAAAGCAGGGTGAGGGGAGCCTTTTCTCAAAGCAAAATAAATAGGAGGGGCCCAGACTGGGGTGGGACAGACACAGCCCCTGCCCCCATAGCCCCAGGCCCGGAGGCAGCACTTCAGTGTCACTGGGAGGAGCCAGCTGGGAGGGCCAGGCTGGCCAGGCTGGGCGCTGCTGCGGGGGGCCAGGCAGAGCCTGGTACTGCCGTGTCATGGGATGGGGGGGTAGAGCTGGGCAGGGGCAGATACCGGGTCAGTCCCCAAGACTTTAAGGCAAAGCAGGGTGAGGGGTGTGCACAGCCCAGGGCGGGGCCAGCCTTTGGCACAGTTGGGGGAGGATGGCTGCAGAGACCATGGAGCAAGGCCAAGGAGGGTGGCAGGTGGGAGGAGGGGCAGGCCTCTTAGTCCTGAACCTCCCACAACACACCAGGGCTGCGGTAGGGCCTTGGCCTCTGCCCAACTTCTGTCCCCACAGATGAGTCCTTGACCCAATCATAGTGGTCAGCAGAGAGTGTCCGTGTTGAAGGAGAGCTGGGCCTGGTAGACAGCAGATAGGCCAGGTATGGGGAGGTGCCTCTGCCACTCCCTGGTGGCAGCTGTGGGCCACCATGCTGGACTCTGCTTTTGCACACCCATCTGGACAGAGCTCTCAGAGTCTGGGCTCTTCTGTGGCCTCTCCTGGCCGAGTCTGGTGGCCACTGTGTCTGCATCACCCTCATCCCCAGACACTGGTCCTTTCTACCCCCATCGCTGCTCTCCCCTGTAGCCCCTTGAAGGCCCCAGCAAGTCTGGGCTCTGTGGTTGGTCACTCCTTTCTCTTTTCCTGGTTCCCTCTAGTCCTCGGCACTGTGCAAATCCCTCTCCACCTGGTGTCCTGTTCTTCCCAATCCCTTGAAGCTGAAGCCCCTGGGTCCAGTGGGCAGAGTGGGTACCCTGACCCTGCAGGACCTCAAGTGCCATGACACTGCAGTTTGCTCACCCGCTCCTCCTCGAAGCTGATGAGTCCCTCGTCCTCTGTGTCCAGGTCCTCAGGCTCATCTGCCACGAGGGCCCGGAGCTCTGTGGGGGTGGGGCGGGGCCGGAGCAGGCTGAGCAGACGGCTGAGAGGGGACTGCAGTGCAGAAGGGGGCTCCGTCTCCTGCTGCTCCAGGTTGTCGCTCTGCTTCTTGGCAAAGTTCACAAACACCTGGAGGGCGGGGCCAGACCCATCTGGGCAAGGCAGGTGGTTGGTCCAGCCCAGACCCAGAGCCTGGAGCAGGCAAGTAGTGGGACAGGTGGGTGGGCGGGGCAGACCCAGGTGGGTGCAGAGCCCCTGCAGGTGACACTCACATTGTCCAGGGTGGTCTGGCTAACTGAGTAGTCCTCAATACCCAGCACACCCGTCACCTGCTCCATCTTGCTGAACACCTGGGCCAGTGAGATGTGCTCTGATTTGAGCTGGTACTGTACTTTCGTGTGATGCCGCTCCTGGGGGGCAGGGAGATCAGAGGCTGCTCGGCAGTGCTGCCCCGACCCCAACCTCTCTGGGGACATGTCCACCTTGAGCACAGCCTCTGGGAAGTTCCGGTTAAAGAACCGCACCACGTCCTTCACACTCTGGCTACTCTTGGTCCTCACCGTGATCATGTAGCCGTCTCCAAACCTGGTGGGATAGGCCCATGGCCTGGAGCTCACACCCCACAGGCTGCAAACCCCAGCCGCTGACCCTATCTGCCCCGGACCCCCAGCTCACCGGTTCTTTAGGTGCTGGATGCTGCCCAGACAGCGCAGGCGCCCATTCACCATGATGGCCAGGCGCGTGCACAGTGCCTCGCACTCCTCCATGCTGCAGGCAGAGCTCAGGCTAGCACAGGGGCTGGGGTGGTGGGTGGGGAACCACGGAGGGGGGACCACGGAAGGGGACAGCCATACCTATGTGATGTGAGCACCACCGAGCGCCCTGTCTTGATGAGGTCGAGAATGAGGTTCCAGAGAAAGCGCCGGGCCTTGGGGTCCATGCCTGTGGTGGGCTCATCCTGGGTGCGGGTGGCAGGGTCAGTGGGCTGCAGTCCTGGCCACTGGGCTTGGCCAGCCCACACCCTCCCTATGCTCACCAGGAAGATGAAGGCTGGGTACCCAATGAGGGCAATGGCTGTTGACAGCTTCCGCTTGTTACCACCACTGTAGGTGCCAGCCGGCTTATCTGCATACTTGGTCAGCTCCAGCTTTTCCAGAGCCCACTTCACCACCTGGCCAGGGAAGGCAGAGGTCAGGGCCAGACGTCAGGCAGCCCCGCCCCCCGGCTTCAGCCCACCAGCCCTCACCCGGGCCTCATCCTTCCAGGGGATGCCACGCAGCCGCGTGTACAGCTGTAGGTGCTCCCGCGCTGTAAGCTCATCAAACAGGGCATCAAACTGCGGGCAGTAGCCGAGGCTCTGCTGCACCTGGAGCAGCTCCTTGAGCACACTGGGGATTCAGCAAGGTCAAGTGTGGGAAGCAGCACAGGCCCTCACCCCCGCCCGCCTAGGCATGCCGCAGCACCTGTGCCCGTTCACGAAGGCCTCGCCCCCTGTCGTACTCTCGTCGCCAGTCAGCATCTTGAAGGTGCTGGTCTTGCCCGCGCCATTCACACCCAAGAGACCAAAGCACTCACCAGGACGAACACCCAGGCATAGGCGATCCACAGCCAGGATGCGGCCGATCTTCCGGGACTTGTAGACCTGGCAGAGGGGAGCTGCCCACTCAGTGGGGCAGTAGGGCACGGGGGGTGTGCCCCCGGTAAGGCCCAAAGCCCACCCCAATCTGAGCCTTACCCTAGGAACCTCCCCATCCCCTGCCCCCAGGCCCTGCCCAACCCCCAGTCCCATGCCCTGAGCCCCACCCCATGCAGGCCCACCTTGGTCAGGTTTTCAATCTTGACCATATCATTGTCAGCGTCCCCCCGAAGCACCCGCTGTCGCTCATTGGCCACATCCACATCGTCCTCCACAGGCTTGGTGGACACGGGCATGCGCCTAGGAGCACAGGGTGGGCAGTGCCCAGGCTGGCCACCCAGCCCCTACCACTGCCAATACCCCCTTGCCCCTAGCTGTGACCATGACAAGAGGGTGGGGAGCCTCACTCACTGTGGCTGCCGCAGGAAGTTGTACTGGCACATGATGGTGAGGAGGAAGCCCACAAAGCCCTCAACCGTCATGGCCACCAGCCCACGTGTGACAATGTCCCACTCGAATGGAGACTTCATCTTGTCAAACTGGCCTGAGGGGTAGCCAGCAGAGCTTGTGTCAGTCCCCTTGCCTGGACCCCACACACTCACCCCCCAGTCCCAGGCTGCTCACCGATCTTGGCATGGTATTCGTTGATGTACTCGTTGTAGGCCATCTCCATGAGCCCATGGCCCAAGTTATAGTTGGGGAAGACCAGGAAGCAGCTTTTCAGGTAACTATTGACAACTTTCAGGTCCTGTGGGTGGGGCACGAGCATGGCCTCAGTACCTACTGCCTTGAAGCCCCAGCTGTCCCCACCCCCTGCCCTGCTGCCCCACCTTGTCGTGCTCGAAGAGCTGCAGCAAGAAGGTGGCCACGGTGGCTGTGATGCCAATGAAGAGGTTGATGACAATGAGGAAGACATAGGCAGAGCTGGGCACCTCAAACCAGAAGGAGGCCGGGTACATGATGGGGGTGATGGACCACCTGTGGGTGGGCAGGCAGGCAGCGGGTGGCAGTCACTGGAGGCCCCTGCCCTTTCCCACAACCCCTCTTCCACCCACTCCCCCTTACCCATAGAGCAGAAAGAGGGAGAGGACAGCAGGGAAGTTGGTGGGTGACGTGTAGGCCGGCAGGTCAAACACAAACAGGATGATGACGCAGCAGGTGGCTGGGACCAGGTAGTTGAGCTGCAGGGGCAGGGGCAGCTAGTGAGGGATATGGGGGAGGGTGGGTGAAGGGGACAGGGTAGGGGAAAGGCCCAGGGCTACTGGGGAGCCCCACAGCCATGTAGGGGCGCACCATATCCCACACGTAGTTGGCCAGCCAGTAGATAATGGGGTTGCAGCCGCTGACAAACTGCAGGTGCTTGGCCTTGGTGGACTTCTCAGCCACTAGGAAGACCACGAAGCTGGCTGGCACAAATGACATGGCCACAATGATGAAGATAGCGATGACCACATCTGTGCCCTGCAGCCTAGAGATGAGAGAGCCCTCAGCCCTGTGCAGCTAGGGGCTGCAGAGAGGCCCCACCCACTCCACCCCACCCCCACCACACATACAGGTAATCCAGGGAGAGGCTGGCGCTGGTCTTGTTCATGGGGTGGTTGGTGACAGTGATGCCTGTGCATAGGAAGGGCAGCCTCAGGCCCCTGCTCCAGCCCCCCTGCCCAGGCTTCTACCCTGTCTGACTCACCATAGGCTGCCGGGTTGCCCTTGCTCTTGGGCAGGTTGGCACGCAGGATGGCGTTGTTGAGACTGTTAAGGTAGGTAGGCATGCTGTGGTAGCCCTTGTTGTTATAGAAAACCTGGGAAGCAGAAGGCCCAGAGAGGACCCAGGAGCCCCTGTGGGTCACTGCAGCCCATGGACAGCACTGGACACCATGGAGCATGCTCACCAGGGTCAGGCATGCTCACCTGGGCTGCCCTACGCACGGCAATCTTCCTCACCATGGGCGGGGCCTTGGCACCAAATGAAGCCGGGATGGACTTCTGGACATTGCCAAAGGTAATAGCACCATACCTGGGCAGACAGGTCAAAGGAACTATGAGGCTAGGTAGGCAGTGGGCAGTGCCCCTACACACAGCCCTGCCTTCGGCTCACCGGTGCAGCCTGAAACGGTCTGAGGTGAAGAGCAGGTACTCAGAGACGTTGTGGCCGGTGACGTCAGTCAGGATGTCTCCTGTGACCACCCGCATCTGGGGTGGGTGCCCGCCCACGCTGCTGGGGCAGGAGAAGCCGGTGCCCTGTGCAGAACAGGTGCAGCGGACGGGCTCCCGCACCAGGCGTGGCAGCAAGGGTGCTGAAGTCCACAGCTCTGAGGACACAGTGGGCACAGTGAGATAGACTGCTTGACCCCACACCCCCCAGCAGGCCCCAAGAGCTGCTACCTGGCCCAGAGGTGGGTGGCAGGGAGGTATTCCAGGCCTGCAGCGTGTCTTCATCTGGGGACATGGGGGAGTCAGACGGGGCAGGCGAGGGTGGGGGCGGCACAAAGTTGGACAGTGGCAGCCCCTGCGTGAAGGACTCCAGGCACATACTATCGAAGAACCGCGCAGCCAGTAGGCGGGACTCCCCACTGCTCAGGTTCAGCGTGGGCCCCAGTGAGCCATTGGCGGGGGACTTGAGCACACAAGTGGCACCCACACCTGATGGCAGCCGGAACGTGCTCACGAGCTGCTGGGGGCTGGCATCAGGCGATAGCCACAGTCTGGGGGACACCAACAGTGAGTCAGGCCTGGCTCCCTCCCACCAGCCCCCCCTGCTACAGCCATCCCCTCAGCCTCACCGGTCCTCCCGGCGCTCCTCGTTGGCATAGGGGATAAAGTTGCCACGGGGCTGGGTGTAATTGTGGTACTGGGAAGGTGACAGTACCAGTGGGGGCAGGTCACCTGTCAAGTGAGCAGGAGTCCTGAATGAGTCCCACCTGCCTGAGCTCCCAGGTCTCAGGTCCCTCTTCCCAATGCCCAGGGGGCCTCAGGTCCCAGGAGGCTTGGGATAGGGCAGATCTAGAGCCCACTGGGGTTGGACGCAGGCTTTGGTGGCCATACCGATCTCAGGGACAGACAAGGCCACAGTCATGGCCACACAGACAAAGAAGGCCGGCAGGAGGATCTGGGAGAACAGCGCCTTGGAGTTGCGGCGGGCACAATGGAAGCGCTTGACCAGCAGCCCATGGAACTGGCGCGCAGTCAGCCACCAGCCCTCCAGCCTGCAGCTGCCCTGGCCGACCTGGGAGAGGGCCTCCGCCTCGGCCTCTGTGCAGAGAGGTGTATGAGAAGGCGGCCCCATGCCACTCCTCTGTCCTTCCCCCCGACCTTCGGCTTTGCCCAGCAGCACCCACCTTGCAAGCTGACGTTGTCCGGGTCCTGTGGGTTGTCAAAGAGTGGGCGGTAGTCGCCGTAGACATCGGTGTAGCCGACTCCCTCATCCCCACGGGCAGAGCCCACTGAGGACGCCGACTGCAGTGATGCCTGCGACTGAGCCAGCTCTGAGCACCGGGCCAGGTTGCCGGGGTGAGCCTCCCCAGACGCCGGGCACTCCACCCCAGGCAGTACGTCCTTCCTGGACTCCTTCACATCTGCCATGGTGGGGGGACACTCAGGGCTGTTCATACCCCAGGCCTGCACAGGACTCAGCCCCCAGTCCTGGCCCAACTCCTAGGTCCACCCACTAGCCAATTCCTCTGGCCACCATGGCCACTCAGGCTGACCCTGGAGAGTTCCAGCCCCTCATTCCCACCCAGAACTGATGCTCCCAAAGCCCAAGAAGTGACCAGCACCTGGTCCACACTCAGGCCTTGGGGGCAGGTGGCCATCAGTGGCTCTGGAGCTGCTCACCAGCCTCACTGTTCTCCAGTGACTGGTCCTCCTCTGACACCTTGAGGAACACCTCTTCCAGTGTTGTGTCCATCAGTCCAAAGCTGCTTAGGTGCAAAGCGTCCAGGCTGTGCTCCAGGTGCTGCATGGGAGAGGCCAGGGGATGCTGCCCACAAGCTTTGGGGGTGGGGCCACCTGCCTCTTCCCCACTGCCCACCTGCCAGGCCTGCCCTGCCTGTGCCCCTGTGCTCTGCCCTCACACCTGGAAAAGGCGCTCGAAGGCCCCCTTTCGGGCAGCCTCGCTAGGCAGGATATAGGAGAGCTCCGTGCTTGTGTCTGAGACCAGCAGGCAGGAGGCCACATGCTTGCGGATGAACTGTGACACCTGTGGCTCAGAGCAGCTGCTCAGCTGGGTCCGGCCTGGGGGGCTGGAGGCCAGCCCTGGCTCTGGGGGCAGAGAGAGGGCCCCTCAGTGAGATCCCAGCCAGACCAGACCAACAACAGCTGGTGACTGTGCATCCAGGTCCGGCCTCCGCAGCTAGGGCCCCCTGGGAGAGGGGCCAGCACTGACCTTGGGGTCCCCAGGGCTCAGCAGGCCGCTTGACCAGTGTGAGGCGGTAGCCATCTCCATAGGCGCCTTTGAGGAAGAGTGGAGAGCCACAGCACTTGAGCTTCCCGTGAGAGATGATGGCGATGCGGTCTCCCAAAAGGTCAGCCTCGTCCATGTGGTGGGTGGACAGGAGGATGGTACGGCCTGGAGGAGGTGGATCTGGGGTCAGGTGTTGGCGGGTGGGGCAGGGCCAGCAGTGCCCATGTGCCCTGACAACTGCTCACCTGGCTTGTATTTCAGGATGAGGTCCCAGATGGCACGGCGAGCATAGGGGTCCACACCGGCAGTGGGCTCATCCAGGATGATGGCGCGGGAGCCGCCTACAAAGGCAATGGCCACAGACAGCTTCCGCTTCATGCCTCCTGACAATGTCTGCACCAGCGAATGCCGCTTGTTGGAGAGCTCCAGGTCCTCGATCATCCTGGGCACAGGGAAGGAGGGCGTGGGACGGGCCCTTGGACCCCGGCCTCTCCACCCGCCCACCCCGCCCACGCACTTGTCAGTCTCCTTGCGGATCTCCTCCTGAGCCCTGCTCTTGAGCCTGGAGTAGAACCAGAGATGCTCCTCCACCGTGAGCCGGTCGAACAGCACGTTGTGCTGGGGGCACATGCCCAGGTTCTTGCGGATCTCATCCATCTCTGTGCGGATGTCATGCCCATAGATGGTGGCCGAACCCGACGTTGGAGGGAATAGGCCAGTCAGGATGGACCTGGGTGGGCAGGTGGGGTCACAACCCAACACCCCCTGCAGGGACCCCACCCTGCCCTCTGGCTGAGGACTCCTGCTCTGGCCAGTGGCCGCAGCACACGCACATGGTGGTGGTCTTGCCGGCCCCATTGTGGCCCAGAAAGGAGACCACCTGGTTCTCGTAGAGGTTTAGGCTCAGCTTATTCAAGGCCAGCTTCTTGTCATCCTTGTAGACCTTGGTGAGCTTGTCCACACACACAACCAGGGGCAGGTGTGTGGGTTCCTCCTCCATGCCACGGGTCTCCTCTGCAGCAGACAGGGAGTTAGCAGGACAGGAGCAGTCCAGGACCCCTAGGTCTGGCACCTGCCCACCTAACACTGCATTCTGGCTCACCAAGGCGCCGGTTCTCCATAGCACAGGCCTGATCTTCCTCCACAATGCTGAGATGGGGGGCACGTGCCCATGGCCAGCTCCACTCCCACGCTTCTGTCCGCCCACTGCCCAGCCAGTAAGACTTCTGCAGTGGGAAGTACCAGGGCCGGGGAAGCCCATACATACCTGGGGGCCAAGAAGGGGACAGGATGATGACCTAGGGTCTGTGGGTGACTGCCCAGGAAGCTGTCCATCTGTGCCACATCCAGGAGGAAGCCCAGAGTGCCAGCCCCCCCTACCTCCAAAGGGTTGGCCAGTACCTGGGTGCACAGCCTCAATGTACCACGTGAGTACTCCGTAGACAACAGCATCCACCATCAGCATGGTGACAGCAAGGAGCAGGTTGAAATCATCCCCTTCCACGGGGGACTGGCTGAACGTGTGCCACTGGATACCCACACCTGCCACCTCATACAAGGCGAAGTACTTGGAGCCCAGGCCAAAGGCTGTTGTGGACATCAGGGACTGGGGAGGCAGTGGTGTCAGTGGGGGAGGGCAGGGACACCCCCACCCCTGGCCTTGCCCTGCCTGCCCAGGGCCCTCACCGCAATGCACTTCTCGAAGGCAGTGATCTTATCGTGGGCCACTTCCTCACGGATTGCCACATACATGTAGGGCACGTAGCTCAGGAAGTAGATGATGCCACCACAGGCTGAGGCCAACTTGGCCTTAGAGTACAGCACGGACACGAGGAAGCTGGGGCAGAACCCGACAGGTCATCAGCACCCAGACCCCAGTCTGGTGCCCAGGCCCTCCTCAGCAGCCCCTGCTGGGGTGCAGAGGCATTCCAAGAGGGTGTACACACATTTGGCAGTGAACTTGAGGGATACCCTGCTGTTGCTGAGTGTGGGGTCAAACTAGCGGGTGGCCCAGCCAGTTCCCACATGAGCTCCCTCCTGCCTGCTGGCCAGTACTCACCAGAACATGATGGTGGCCACAGCATAGACGGCTAAGAAGAGCCAGATGATGAGCACATGGCTGTGCATGAGGACCTGGCCGTACTTGAGGATGGCGGTGAGTGCTGACACAGAGATGGACAGCTGCACAAAGCCTGTTATGAACCAGGCCACCCAGTGCACGGCGTTGTTCAGCCCCATGGTCTTCATCACCTATGGGCGTGTGCAGGGGGCTTTGGGACATGGCTCCAGTGTGGATCGCTGTCCCGCCAGCCGGCCTGGAGGGATACCCGCTCCCTGCTCTGCCCACCTCCTTGAGCCGGTGCTCCTTCTCTGCCACGATGTGCTGGATGGTCATGGCCACAGAGTAGACCCAGGAGATCACCATGCAGAGTGGCATCATGTGCTCAATGACAAACAGGAAGCTGGGGTGGGGCACGGTGGGGCACAAGGTGAGGGAGCGCATGACCCAAGCCCACCCAGCCCTCACACTGGCACTTACTCGTCCCGTGTGTAGCAGGGGTAAGGGAACATCTGCACATAGCTGCCAGGCTCCACCACATCGTGCCCCACAAAGGTGTTGATGATGGCACGCTCCATCATGTCTGCAGAGACAGCCAGCCATCAGGGCTCCCTCTTAGTTCTTGCCTCTAAACCACTTCCCCCTGCCCTCTCCTCTTTCCTCCTCATCTCCTCCCTCCAGCCTGGCCCCTCACCCTGGATCCAGACAAAGCCATAGAGGAAGTAGAAACGGCCACCAGTGTTGGGCCCTGGCCGCCAGTAGGCCCTACGAATTTCATTGGTTTTCTCAGTGAAGCTGGAGTTCTGTCGGATCTTGTAGTGGACATGGGGTGGAAGGGAGCCATCCTTCCGAGTCTGGAAGATCACACCTGGGGACCAGAGGCAGGTTGGGTGGAGGGCAGGGCTACAGGGGATTAGGTGGGGCCAAGGTGTAGAAGGGCAGGACTGGGAGGATGAGGTGAGCTACAGAGGAGCAGGTGGGTGGGTGGAGGCATGGAGGGCAGGTAGAGATGGCAAGGTTTGGGAGCAGTGAGGAAAGGAAGGAGCAGGTTGTGGGGCATGGCAAGCACTAGGGGTTGGGGCTAGAGTGGGGAAGAAGGGACAGAGACGGGGAGGATGGGGGCAAGTGAAGGCAGCAGGGTCAAGGCGAGCCAAAGAATGAGGAGATACGGGGGGGGGGCCCTGTAGGGCCATGCTGGAAGGGCAGGGCTGCGTGCAACCCTGAGGAGGGGCAGTTGGCTTACTGGCAAACACAGTGACATTATCCTGGTAGGCCTGATTAAGTGTGTAGTTGACAATGCTCTCCTCATCAGGAAAGCCCTTGAAGATGTCCACGCTCACCTAGAGTGCGGGCATTGTTGGAGCGGGTCCTGGGCATGCATAGGCACCCCCTCCCAGGCTGGCGCACCCCACCTTGGACATGAACTGGATCCAGCCACAGGCCGCATTGTCAATAGTGTCCAGCTGCTGCAGGAGAGCAGAGCCATTGGGCAGTGAGAAGTTGTCCTGGCGTAAGGCTGGCGGCAGCTCGTCCAATGACAGGTTCAGTGCTTCAGGGTGCAGCCGCAGCTCTGCCACATACTGGGAATACAAGATTGGCTCGGAGAGTGGCCTACACCTGTGGCCTGAGCAAAGAAGGGCTCCCTGTGCCACCCACTGCTGCCCCCTGCACCGGGCACCCACAGTACCTGCTGCAGCCAATGCAGGTGCTGCTGCAGCCTGCCCTGCTCTAGGAAGCTGCGGATCTCTGCTGAGATGTTGAGCCAAACCTGGGCATAGTGAGTCACGTTGCCCACGAAGGCAAAGGTCTCATTGGCCTGCAGAGGGTAGGGGCACAGTGCATGGGGCTCCTGGAAGGACTCCCTGGAAGCCAGCATGGAGCTCTCCTCCCTCACCTCTCACAACTGGCCTGTCCCCAACAACAACCAGCTTTGCTCTGACCAAACTTTCCCCTGCAGGTCCCCAGGCCCCCTTCCCCACCTTTCTCCACACCTGCAGGAAACTCACTCTGCTCTCTGTTCCATGGCAGCACCATCTCCACACCCCCATCTCACAGCTCCTTCCTGGTACCCCTCCATGCATATTATGAGTGTCGCTATGCTCGACCCTCACCTGCTACATCCTTATCCTAGGGACCCCTCTGCTCAGGGCTCCACCTCATCCACAGGCTCCCCTCCCAGGCCTATGTCCAGTCCTGGCTTCTGCTTGTTCCAGAAAGTAGTCCCCTGGATGCTGCTCCAGAAGGTCTCTGCATATGCTTCTTCTCCACCAGCACTAACCTGGCCTGACACCCCCAGCTTATAGGGAGGGCTCACAGTGCATTCCCACGGCAGCTCCCAGGGAGCTCCCAAAGGAAAAAGCAGCCAAGTGCTCCTGCACCTTAAACCGCAGTTTGCCCCACCTGCAGTGCCATGACTAGGCTGGTATCCCACATGCTGCCACACCTCCCTCTGCCCAGGGCCCTGCAGAACCCCCAGATCCTGCAGGGGAAGGCATGCAAAGCCCAGATGCCCAGCTGCCAGCCCCGCATACCTTGAGGATGACCTTGTCAGCTTCAGAGCCCGCTGGCGCATACAAGATCTTTGGGTTGCTGGTCATGAGGTGCACCAGGAGGCCCAGGTTCCGCTGCTCCTTGCTGGTGAAGCCCAGGGAGCTCATGTTGCCACGCCGCAGTGCCTCGGGCTCTATGGTACTGGGGGAGTGGGGGGAAGGTGTGGCATCAGGGTGGGCTGCACCACCTGCAGGTGGGGCAAAGCTGGAGGAGAGTGTGGGTGGAGCCAAAGGAAAGAGGCAAGGCTGGGGGTGGGGCACCAGGGGCAGGATGCCCTGTCAGAGTCAGGCAATGGGGTCAGACCCTTCCCCCTCCTCCACCTTCCCACCGGCCCCCACCCCACCCTCCTGCTGACCTACCGGTTGTTGCCACACAGGATGGGCTGCAGGCCTGCCCAGAGCTGCACAAAGGCCGAGCACTGGCCCTGCAGCGTGTCCAGGGAGGCTGAAGCTGCAGCAGATGGGGAGCCCTCCTCCGCTGTGGCATTGGTGCCCGTGCCTGTCCCCGCCCCAGTCCCATTGGCCACCCCTCCTGGGCTGCTGGCTGGGGCCCCAGGGACCCGGCCAGTGCAGGCCCCCTGAGGCAGCAGCAGAGCCAGGGCTGACAAGACGTCCACATCCTGCAGAACCTTCTGGGCGTTCAGCAGGTCCTCCAGGAGAGCCTGCAGGCTGCGTGGGGGCGGGGCCTGCGAGCCGTTGGGGGCATCCAGGCCCAGCTGAGGGGACACCGGCATGTCAGGGTTGACTGCAAGGGGGCTGAGGGAGAACCTGCCGCCTGAGGTGGGGGCCTGTCAGGGACTGGGAACGACAGACATGGCTGAGGGGTGGGCAGGGCCTGGGGCAAGAGTCCCAGCATCATCCCACACACAGCCTGGGCCTCCTGGTAGCCCAGAACCTCCTCCAGTCTGGGCAGCAGGCAGCTGGCAGGCAGGACCTCACCTGCTGGGCAATTTTGGCCATATCCAGCTGGTTCCGGAGCTCAGCAGCCAGCCCAGAGAAGCGCCTGGCACGAGCTACAGCCTCCCCACTGCACACAGCACCGTGATAGCCCTGCAGGGCTGACTTCTGACCCTCAGGCACTGTGAGGATCCGGCCTAGCTCCCTGGAGCCGGGTGCACAGGTGAGTTGCTCCAGGAGGGCAGGGGCCAACAGCAGCTCCTATGGGAGGGTGGGCAGAGAGGTAAGCTGGGGCCATGTAGGGATTCTGCCCCCAACCAAGGGGGACTGAGGCCTATCCTAAGATAGCCTCATCCTGACAACCCACTGTAACAACTCTGGGACTTTCTGGGCTTTCACCCAGCGAGGCACTCACACCTTCTCCACCTACCTCCAACCCTGCCTACACCAGTCACAAACTCCCCAGGACCCTCTGTTGCTCTCAGAGGGAGCTCTGTATTACCAAGGGGCCCTTTCCTCACCACTGTACAGAAGCCCCCCAGAAGCAGGCACCACACCTCCCATCCCACCAACAGGCCCCCTCACCTCCATCTGGAATAGGGGATGGCTACGCAGGTGGCTCCGGGGCTCCTGGCCCCTAGAGAGGCCTGACTCATAACCCAGGGCCTGAGAAGGGCCAAAGAGCAGGCGATAGACCTGGGGGTGGAAAGACAGAGATTAGGTGAGGGCCGAAGAGCATGACCACTGGGCCTCCTCAGAGCTCTGAGGATGCCTCAGCTGCCCTACACACACTCCTGCAACCTGGGGGTGTAAGAAGGCTGGCAGGGGGTGGCCAGGGCAGGCACAGCCCTAACCATGAGCAGATGACACATCACTGATGCAACCCTGCCTCACCTCCGGTGGGTCCACACGGGCAGCCAAGAGGGTCTGGGCTGTGCTGTTGGGCAGCGACAGGTTCTGTACCAGGAAGCGCCAGAGCTCCCCTGGGTCCCTGGCAACCGAGTCCAGAGAGAAGGAGGACGCTAGACAAGCAAGAGGGAGAGGGTGAAGGGCCAGCTTCACCAGGGACAAGGGATCCCAGTAGGCTCAGAGCAGGGGCACTCAGCCCCCTCAGCCCCAGTGCAGTTGAGGTGGGCAGAAGCAATAGGCCCTCCCCACCCTGGCGCACCTGCAGGGCTGTCCAAGTGGTGCCCCCAGGCACTCGGGCTGGCGCTGAGGGCCTCCAGATGCTGGCGCAAGGCCTCAAGCTCTGAGCCCAGGCTGGGCCGGGCTGGGTCGAACAGATTGCCCTCCTCCACTACGCGGTCCAGGCGCTCCAGCAGCTGAGTGACCCTGCACCACCACCAGATGTCACCACTGGGACGGGCTGGGGGTAGGGGAGTGGTAGGCTGGGGAGGGCAGGCACTCACGTGGAGTTGGCGTACTGCAGAAAGCCGAACTCATCTCGCTGGCCGTCTGGGCACAAGGACTGCATGACGGGCAGGATGCCGGCGGATGTCAGGGGTGCTGCTGTGTAGAAGGCTGAGGGATGGACGGGTGAGAGGGTGGGGTCCGGGAACAAAAGGAGGAGAGAAATCAAGAAGGGGGAGGGGCAGAGGCGAAGAGGAGAGACTTAGACAAAGTCAGGAAGGAGGAGCAGTGTTAAGGAGAAGATGGGCACAGCACCTTGGCCCTCAGCTGTGCTGCAGGCAGAGGGTTCTGGTGCAAATGACTCCAGCAGGTCAGAGGTCAAAGGGCCACTTGCCACGCCTCCACCATAACCCCAGAGCATCTCTCTTCTCTCAGCCACTGCTGAGCCAAAAGGCCAGAGCGTTCCCCCACTAAAAAAATTCAGGTGTGATACTGCCCACAGAGCTCTAGCAGCACCCAAAAGGGCCCACTGGACAGTGACCTCTGACCTCTCTGGCCAGCTAGTTAGCGGAATGAGTGTGAGAGCCAACAAGAGTATGAAGGGAAAGTAGCTAGGCTGACCCAGCCCCAGCCCAAGGTAGCCCAGGCGCCCCCACCCCTAGAAGGCATGGGTAGGCAGGGAGATAGCTCAGTCACTTTCCTGGCCATCAACTGTGGTCCAGGTGGCCTGGCCATTCACTACCTACTACCACTCACTGCAATGACCACCCACAGTGGGCAGCTGTTCCTGACAGCCGACAGGGGGTTCTGTAGGACTGGCCAGCAGGAAAGGTGTTTAATGCAAGCGGGGTGGGGTGCCCAAGCTGCACCAGGAGGACCCTCAGGCCATCCTGTGGCTGCCCCTGGGCCAGCAAGGAGGCAGCTGCTCACTTACAGACTACATGCGGGCCATGGCCAGGACAAGAGAACATGCAGAGACAGGGGTGGGTCAAAACAGAACAGAGGAAAACAATGAGTGCCTGAGCCCACCAGGAACTGGCACCATCATCACTCGCGGCCACACAGCTAGTCACAACCTCTGAAGCCCAGCCAGGAGACACAGCCCAGGACTGTACCTTAAGGAGTCTTGGGGGCAGGGACACACATGCACACACATAGAGCAGACATGCGTGATGCCATGAGGCCACCTGCCCCCTCCCTGACACCCCCCCCCCACAATGCCCAGCTAGGGCCCCGCCCTCACCTTCCTTCACAGAGATGGTAGGCTTCTTCTGCCGCAGCCCCAGCAGGATGAAGAAGAGCACCAGCGGGATGAAGATCTCGAAGGCCAAGACCCACTAGGAAGGGCACCCCAGTAAAGCCACTGCATGGGTGGGGCAGCCAGGCCTTCTATTCCCACCCTGCCCTGGGCTGGACAGGATAGACGTATGCTGGCCCAAGCCCTCCCCAATCTCCCCACAGGACCAGCCCAGGCCAGCCAGGACCACATACTCCCTGGGGCCCTTCAGAGCTAGTGAAGGTCTTGGCCCCTTCCAGGCCACCGAGAGGGTGAATATTGTCTCCAATCCCCAGATGAGGTTCTGCTGGCCACAGTGGGGACTATCTGCCCTCTGAAGACTCTCTGGGTTAACAAAGACAAATCAGCCAGCCTGTGTCCCACACTGATGTGTGTTTCTCCCAGGTCATCTTCTCCCTCCCCACCTCCAGGGCTGCTTGGGTGGAATCCTAGAGGCCATTTGAGCCACTGCCTCTGCCAATCCCACCCTCCTCCCTACTGCTGCAGCACCCTTGCACCTCCATGCAAGGGCCAAAGGAGATGAGGCCTGACGTCAGGGAGGCATGAACTTAGCCTAGGGTCCTGAGACCCCCTGGGAAGACCTGGTCATGGATCTAACAGCCTTCAGTTCCCAAGGCAAAAGCACCCTTCTGTCCCTCCCCTCCTCCTGGCCCCAAATAGACCAGCCTGTCCTGGGCCTCAGGCTTGATTTTCCCAGGATGGCTCCTGCTACCCAGGGCTGGGGCCTGCTTCGACTAGGAAATAAATGCTGGAAGCCTCTAGGAGCCCAGGCTTTCCTCTCACTTCCATCTAGAAAGTGAAGGACTTCACCAGTTCTTGCCCCACATCCCCCAACTCAGGAAGGAGGGAGGAACAGCTTGGGCCAGCTGCTCTCTGGGAGAGGCCTCTGTAGCCCAGTCCCCTGACAAAGACAGGGCCACTACCCAGCCTGAGGGCCAGTCCCCACCCTCACCCAGTTCAGACCATGTGGATCTTCTCAGGGGCACCAGGTCTTCATCCCTACCCCGACCACAAAACAGACTTCAGAGCCCTCACCCCAACAGTGCTCTGGGTGGCCCAGGGCCTGAGCCCCTATGGGGGTGGTGGTGGCTGCTACTGTGTTTACTGTGCTGACAATAGCACTCTGTGGTCTGGAACACCATGCTGTGTGTCCACACCCCACGCCCGCCCAGCTCGTGTCAGCCTCCACCCCCCTAGCTGGGACAGAGCACAGGGCTGGCCAAGGAGTCATGTGGGTATCCATAGGGCTACAGGACAGGGTGAGGGGCAAGTGTGCTGCACACAAGAGCAGCAGTGCTGGAGGCCAGGCTCACCCTCTGGGACACCAGCCCTACCCACACCCGCCTACCACCCAGCACCTCTGCTCTGCCACTGTCTCTGCAGCAACAGGCCTCAGCCACCTCCCCATTGCTATAGCAACAGCCTCCCAAGAGCTGCTGGGAGGAGGAGAGTCTTGGCGAGCAGGCAGCAGACAGTTACAGGGGCATCTGGTGACAGGCAGCAAGCAGAGGTTCACCATCCACTGGATGCCCCAGACGGGTGCCTGCAGGTGGCCATACCGCCATTCCTCAAGACCAGCCCATGGCCTCCACATTGTCCTGGGACCTGAATGACCACTGTGGGCTAGACCCCTCACGACTCCCACCTGCCATGTCAAGGTGAACATGTGGCACCTCCCACCCTCACAGCTCAGTGACAATGATCCTGTCCCTTCACCAAGAGCAGCCTGGGGCCCTAGGGTAGACTCACCTCCAGCTAACTTGGAGGAAACAGGCCACACTCACTGACGTGGAAACAAAGGTCAGGTGTTTTGGAGGAGGAAACTTGCAGGGGTTGGTTCCTGCACCAGCTCCTGAGCTGGGCACAGACTGCACCGGGTCCCAATACGGCTTACAGCAAGCAGGATGAAACTTTCACACCTCCAAGCCTGGCCTCTGGAGTCTAGTTCTTTTTTTTTTTTTTTTTTTTAGACAAATTCCCACTCTGTTGCTCTGGGTAGAGTACCATTGCATTACACATAGCTCACAGCAACCTCAAACTCTTGGGCTCAAGCAATCTTCCTGCCTTAGCTTCCTGAGGAGCTGGGACTACAGGTGCCCACCACAACACCTGGTTTGTTTTGGGTTTTTTTTTTCCTCTTTTTTATTAGACATGGGGTCTCATTCTTGCCCAGGCTGGTCTTGAACTCCTGAACTCAGGCAATCCTCCCACCTTGGCCTCCTAGAGTGGTGGGAATACAGGTATGAGCTACCATACCCAGCCAGGAGTCCACTTCTGAAGCCCATAGCCCTTCCTGGGAAAGTGGGGGTCTGACAGGTATGTGCCTAACCAGTCCCTGCCCCTGCCATTGCCCCAGGTATGAGCCCAGCAAGGATTTAGCCTCCCTAGAGGAAGAATTTCCTACTTGCTATAGCTTCCACTGTGGCCTGACCAGCCTCTGAGAGCCCTGGAGGGTGGGGCCACTCCTCCAGGTAGGCCAGTGGGTATCTCCCACTTGCTTGCCAGGTGCTCTCACAAGTCCTTGATCCCTTCTTTGAGCCCTGGTGTCCCCACTGGATGCAGGATCCACCATTCTAGCCTCTGCTCCCAGGCCTCGGAGGGAGTCCTTCCTGACAAGAGCCCAACCTAACTGCGTTCCCAACCCTGCCCTGCTCTCCTGTCTCCAGCAAGCCAACACCCAGGGCTGCAGGCCTGATCCACAGGACCTCATGTTAGCCAGCCCCAGGCACTCTGGGCAGGGAGTGCACCTAATCCTGGCTCCCTGCCAGGGCCAGGTGCCCAGGTGAATCCTGCCAGGCCATGGTGGCGATGGCTAACCTACCCTGCTTACAACCCCAGGTTTTCTGCGGTACATTTGAAGCTCTTCTCAAGGGGAACTCACGCAGGAGCTAGTGTGGACAAAGCGGGTCCTGCTATAGGCCCTCGCCCTCTCTGGGCCCTGTCCTAGAAAATCCGGATGGCCCTTTCAGAAACCTAAGCTGGCTCAGGCTTCTGGCCTGTGCACTGCCCCTGTCCTTGTGGGGCCAGAGGAGAGAGGACAAGCTGAGGGGTTGGCACAACATCCATACCCCCTACACCCTACACAGGACTTCTGTATCTGACAACAGTTGTGTCCTGCACCCTCAGCCCTCCTGGCTGCCCCCGACAGTGCTGGGGCACCTGGTAGTCACAACTCCAAACAGCAGGACCCAGCCCCCAGAGGAGGGTGGGTCAGCCTCCCAGAGAACTGACCCCAAAGGACAAAGGGGTGCTGAGACTCTGGCTGGTTTAGCCTGGTACAAGGGCATTTCTGGTGCTGATAAAGGGTCAGTGGACACCCAGGAGGGCAAGGAAGGTGCCTGGAATCAAGCTCATCAGTAGCTGTCCAAGGGCAGGGGTCAGGTAGAGGAAGGCACAAGGGCCCTAACAGGGGCCGCGGTGGGGATGGACCCAGGACCACGGAGCCCTCAGCTGGATGGTGTCCCCAGGCCTGCCCTCGGTCCTGGGAACCAGGGCCTCCGGCAAGCCAGAGGCCTAGGTGCCGCCGGCCCCCGCCCCGCAGAGGCCCGGGAGCGCGCTGCGGAGGGCGTCCGCGCCATGACTCAGCCCAGCGCCGCCACCGCTGGCGGGTGCGGGTGTGGGCTGGATACGCCCGCGCTCCCTCCGCGGAGGCCGAGGCCGGGCGCGGACGGGACCCTGGCCCTAGCCGACCCCCACGCCCGCCCGCCCGTACGCGCGGCCTCGGCTCCCGGCGCGCGAGTCGGCTCACCGGGCTCCGGCGCTTCAGCGTCACGTTCTTCCAGAGCAGCAGCTGTAGCTGGTGCAGGAAGCCCATGGCGGGCCTCGCTCTGGCTGCCTCAGCGCCGCGGCTGTCTGCTCTGCGCGCCCAGCCGGGCCCCGCCGCCCGCTGCGCTGCTCAGCATCGCCGCGGGGGCGGGTCTCGGGCGTCCGGGACCGGCCGGCGCTGGCTCCGCCCCGGCGGCCCGGGCGACAGCGACTCTCCGCCCGCCCCTCCCCGGCTTAAAGGAGCGGAACCTTCCTCACTCCCGCCAGGTGGCGCGCACCGCCGGAGACCCCTGCCTGCCCCGCCGCTGGAGGCCCTGGCCCAAACTTGAAGAGACCCATACCCAAGCCTGGCAGAGCAGAGCCTGTATGTAAGCCGAGACCCTGATGCCTCCCATCCAAGACCAAGGCACGGACCTGCGCCCCTCGCCCAGCCGAAGACTCCCGCGGGGGCTCTCCCGCTCCGTGGCTACAGTCCTGGGGTGCCCCTAGGGGTTACTGGGGGAGGCTTGCCCGCATCAGGTCCCAAGCGGCTGGAATCTCCTTTGGACATGAGAGCCGGGTCTTAACCCAAGGCGCTGTGGAGATCAGGTGCCCATCCCTAGGGCGAGGGAACCCTCATCCCACCCAGAGAGCTCTGCACTGGGCGGACACTGCCCTTGGGCACCAAGAGCCAGTGTCTGGCCCACTGGAAGCTCCTTAGCAGAGACTGGAATGGGGCTGTGTGTGGGCAGGGACACTTGTGAGGGTGTTCTATGTCACTTGTAAAGGAGCCACTGGAGACTAAATGACATCCACTGTGGGTGGGCAGGATGGCCAGGCTGGGGCTCTGCATGCCTAAGGTCACCCTTCTGTATGTGGTTCACCCTTCCTCCCACGTCTGGGAGCCTAGCCTCTGCACAAGGAGTGTGAGGTCCAGTGGAATCTTAGATGTGGCCTGGCCTGAGGGGTGGGAGGCCCCTAAATGGCTCTGACGGCTTCTTCCCAGCCTCAGTTTCCCCCCTGTAAATGGGAGGGAGTGGGGCTGTGGTCTGTGTGGTGTCCAGTGTCTGGGACACACATGGAAGGCACACACCCTAAAATGAATGACAGACCTTGGAGGATACAGCTCCCTACCCCAACCCCTCCCAGCTCCTTCTTTGCCCAGGAGGGACCACCCAGGCAGGTGGGTGAGGGCATAACCCCCTACCCCAACCCACAGCCTCCCTAGCCAGCCCAAGAGGCTAGGTCAGAGTGGGAACCCACCAGTAGGCCTTTCTCATAAGTTTCTGCCATGGGTGAGGGAGGCTGCTGTGGACTCACTCACTGACTAGGCAGCCCATGACAGGAGGGCAGGGAGAGACAGGAAGAGACAGGAGTTTAGCAGGGAGGGGCAAAGAGACACAGGAGGGCCTACAGGGGCACTGTTGCCGCGACCCATGAGACTTTATTGTTCCCCCTCCTGCATGGTTGGTTCCCTCATCGTGGTCTCCCCAGCCCAGTGTGGGTCTGCAAAGGGGCTCTGACCTCCAGAAGCAGGGCTCGTGCCTGCATCTCAGGGGCCAGCCCACCTCAGTGACAGAGGAGGCTCAGGGGGCCCATATTTGGGCCCCACAGACTATAGCCTGCAGCTCCTAGACCCACTGAAGACTTGTCCAAGGTGAGGAGGTCCCTCTGCAGCCTTTCCTCTTTGATGCACCCAGATGCCCCCACCAAAGCCCACCAGCCTCCTCCAAGTAGCCTCCCCAGTTCAGCCTGCTCCGCCCCTACCCCCACTTCCTGGCCTCTGACCCCAGCCTCCCTGTTAGCCTGATGGGTGTTGCTGGGGGGCCGGATGCCCGGTGGTTTGATTTCAACACTCAGCCCTTCCTCCCACACCCACCTCCCCTGGCCAGCGGGAGCTCAGGCCTGGAACCAGCCTTCCAGGTCCTCATAAACCTGGCCATGGGGCAGGTGGGGGTAGTGGGCGCAGATAGCACAGAAGCGCTCCCGCCAGTCATCCAGTAGTCGTACCCGGAGCCTGTCACGCCAGAGGAAGAAGCGTCGATAATGGCTCTCATTCATGCCAGAGAGGAAAGCAGCCAGCTCACGGGGCGAACCAAAGTCATCTACATGCACAAAGGAGTCCGGAGGCACAAAGGCCTCATAGGTAGCCCGAGGGGGTCCCAGCACCACCGGCACAGCACCAGCCACCAGCGCATTGCGCCAGAACTTCTCAGTGATGTAGTCTTGGTGCTGGGAGTTCTCAAAGGACAGGTAGAAGCGGTACCGGGCTATGGTGGGCAGCAGGCAGTGGGCACACAGTGGCCGCCTACTGGCGCGGCCAAACACGTCCACCTGCAGGTGAGGCGACAGCTGCCTGTACAGCCGTGCTCGCCGCTGCCGCTCCTGGAAATTACTAATCACCCAGGCAGCCAATCCGCTTTTGGTAGGTAGTGGTGGTGAGGGCCCTGAGCGGGCCTCCATGCGTCCATAGGGCACAAAGATGTCTGAGTCACGTCGGTAGCTCAACACCCAGTTGAAGACACCACGGAGGCGGCCAAGACCGTGAGTGTGGCTGGGTGACTCCATGGAGGCCCACACCCATGGCTGCCCATGCGGCCTTTGTGCCAGGGGCAGGTAGGACCGCCGAGTCTCCAGCTCACGGTGGTGGAATACCACGGCATCAGCACTGGCCAGCAGGCTCCGGTTGGCACTCAGGTGGCAGTGGGCTATGCCATAGTGGGCACAGGTGTTGCTGGGCAGCTCTGGGGGCCGGTCAGTGAAGGGCCAATGCCAGACAAGGATGGTGATTGTGGGCTGGTGTGCTGGGGCACCCCCAGGGGCCAACTCCAGCAGCCACAGGAGCCAGAGGGCTATAAGCAGGGCCCCCCCGGCCAGGCTCCCCCAGCCCCGTAGCCTCCGGGCGGGACCACACCCTGCAGCAGAACAAGCAAGGGAGGAGAGGCTGTCACTTGGGGCTCAGGGACACCCACAGGCCCCCTCTCCCCACTCTTCCTTCCCTTTGCCTGGCCTGTGCCTGCCCAGACTAGACTTCCCCAGGGCCACTCACCAGCGTGGTTCATTCACAGCCTCCCAGAATCTGCCTCCTAATGAGTCTGAGATTGTCAAATCACAGCAGCCACCAGAGGTGCCCTGAAATCACAGCTGTGCCCCAACTCTGCCCCGCCTGGAACTACACCCCTTTCATCTACTGAAGGTGAGGGAAGCCAGGGGACCTTCCCATCACCGCCCCGCCCCTGCCTCTGAGACCTTTGGCATCAACCACCATCCCCACCCCCAACTCCCTCTCTAGTCCTTGGGCTGCTGGGAAGGGGATGACTACAAGAGGGGCACCAAGCCAGGGCCTAATGATGCCTCCCCCTCTAACCCACCCCACTGGTCTTCTGAGAGGCCTGGAGATGACCAGCTGGGCACACAGAGGAGGACAGGGAAGGGCGGTTCACTTAGTCCTGGGGAGGGACGGGCCAGGTGTGGGAACCCTGAGCAGAGGCACCCCCCACCCTCCACTACTTCCCTTGGAGGCCCCACACCCTCCCGCCTTGGCATTGCCCACTTCCCCTAGCTCACCACCAGCAGCACCCTGCTGTCCTAGAAGATCCTAGCCCATCACAGATGTGTGCACTCAGCTCTTTGCAGGAGGCTGAGGTTTCTAATTGGGCCACCCACCCCTGCCACCTCCTGGAACCCAGATGCTTAGAAAGGGGTCTATCCTGGGGTGCTAGCAGTGTCTGTCCACAGGGTGTCCCATCCTATGCCACAGGGTGCAGATGCCAGGCTGGGCCTGTCCTTAGAATGAACTGTGAGGGCTGCTGCATTATTGTTCCTGCCCAGGACATGCCCATAGATGCCCCAGGCTGAGTCCAGGTCCCTGGATGCTGGAGGAGCTGGAGCAGGAGGGGGCTTTCCAGGCTGGAAGGGGAAGCAGTCCTCATGTCCCTGACGCAAGCGGGTAGGGGGCTGGCGCCTACTGCAGGAAGAAGAAAGCTGGACCCAGTCTGGAGTCCAGACTCTCCCACCCCCTCAGCTGGACCCTGGAGCCTGGAGTTCCTCTTCCTTTTACTGCAGCTCTTCCAAGCTGGACAGGCAGCAAGCCAAGGTGGGCCAAGCTGGATGGCCCTGCAGGTCCTCCTGAACTCCAGCCTACACCCCATTCTCAGCTGCTTTCAGCCCAACCACACAGCACACTCCTCTCTCCAGGACCTGCCTGGTTCTCATGCCCAGTGTCCCAGGGGTCTTAGGCCTGGTTAGTTTCTGTGAGGCCCCAGACCAGGGCCCAGCACCATGCTAGGGTCCACCTACCACCCCTCCCCTCCCTGTCATCCCCCAGCTCAGACCCCACAGTAAGAACATGGCTACCACTGGGCAGGGGGATCCAGACAGCTGGCAACATGGTGGGGACAGAGGCAGGCTCAGGAGAGGATGGCAGTTTGGCCCCTCAGAGGCTTCCCGCCCCTGCCCACAGGATAACCTCTTAGCTGTGGCAGGAACTTATGCAGTGTCGAAAGAGGGAAGGAGGGGCATGGAGTCGACGGAAATCCTTCAGCTGCCTGAGGTGCTGTGCGTTAGGAGCTGGCACCACAGTGGGTAGCCTTGCCACCCCCCACTCTTCCAGCTACCTAGTATTTAGGCAATGACCCTGGGGGACTTTGACCCTTCCCCAGCACCTCTCACCTAGCAGAGGGGCCCCTAGAGAACCATGCCCTGGCTTCGGGTCTTGCTTCCCCCACCTCTTCTCCCTGTGGCGGGCACCTAGTAAGAGGTGGGGCACATCAACCGGGCTGCTGGTTGCCAGGGCCAGCTGTCCTTCCTGTTTGTGCTACCAGAGTGGCAGGGCCTGCCACAGGCCTCACCCACATGTACAGCCCACTCCCTTCCTGGGTGGATTTGCAGGAGCCTCCCTCTGCCTCCACCACGGCCTGCTCCCACTCAGGTTAGGGGCACAGGGGCCCGTTTGTGGGAACCTGAAATCTGGCAAACCGGACTCAAAAGTTTAGCCCAGAAATAGGTCAGAACAAAAGGCTCTCAGAGGAAAGAAAGGGAGTGAGTCAAAGGGAAAGTTGGGGGTGGGGGGGTGGGTAGAGGTGTCATCCTGCATCTCACCCCCACCCGGCCTCCTGCCTCTTTGGGTTGGCTGGTACACAGGTGGGCACCCAACCCCCACTTGGTGGCCTGAGAGCATGGGGCGATCAGGAACCTTGTTCTTCCCCAGCAGAGCTCTCCAGCGAGCCAACCCCCCGGTAGGTGCCAATTAAAAAGGCCTCCCTCCCTGGGCCAACCCTGCTGTCCTGCCGCCCCCTCCAGAAAGCAGCAGGAACGGATGGCACCCAGTCCCAGCCCAAGGGGAGCTTCAGGGAGCAGGCTGACCCTGGCTGACCACCTGAGCACCCACTCTCCCCAAGGGTTGGCCTGAGCAGACCAGAGTCCAGACATGGGCTTCCAGGGCCCCCTGGTGGTGTACTCCAAAGCCACCTGGCTCTTGCTGAAAAAGGGGCCAGAGCACTTTATTCTCAATGAGAGGGTAGGGCTGGCAGCCAGGGAACCCCTCTAGGCTCATATCTGGAAAGATGAATGCACGGAGGAAGGGGTGCCTGGGAGGTTGGCAGGTGGCCAAGAGGGCTCCAGGTGGGGGCATGGCTGAGGAGCCACACATGGGTGGCACAGAGTTAGTGACTAGAGGCTCACTCCCAGCCCCCCCGCCCCCAGTCTGTGCCCCTCAAGCTCAGAGCATGGCTACATGTCCACATGTTTATCCTTGCCTGGGTGGACCTCCTGGATTAGCTCCAGTGTCTACAGGAGGTTGGTCCTCTACGGGCTGCAGCTGCTGGGCTGGGAACCCTGGCCCACCCTACTCAGTTCCAGGCTGGCCTGGGATGAGTCTGAACCGCTGTGGACATCACCTCCCAGGGTCCAAAGCTGGGGAGGTCCCCACTTCCTACAGTCATGGCTAGGGAATTACCATAGCCTACATTCTGTGCCAAGCATGGTCTTGCCCCAGAGTCTCCACATGGATGTGTCACCCTAGGGTTTTTGCTGGGCTCTGAGGCTTGGCAACCTTAGGTTCCTATGCTTGGGAGGCTGCTCAGGTTGGAAGCACAGATAGCAGTACCATACTGGGCTTCTCCTAGAAGCCTGAGAATCAGTGGAAGAGGGCTGGGCTGCCAAAGTCCAGGCCTGCAGAAGGCTTGGGGGCTCTGGGTAAGGTCTGGCCAGAGGACCAAGGGGAGATCTGCTGTGCAGTAGCCAGGACAGGTGTTCTCTGTGGGAGCCTCAGGCCAAGCAGAGAGACCACCACCAGCCTCTGAAGTTGCTGGTGGAGGGAGAGCGGGTTGTGGACCTATGGGCAAGGCTGAGCTAGGCCATTCAGCCAGGATTGGGGTCTCTAGAGTCCCTGCAGGCCCCACAGCAACCCACCCAGCCCTCCTGGGTGTACAGGAGTAAGGGTGGATCATGAGGGCTGGGGGTAGAAGTTTGGACAAATGAATAGGTTGTCTTTGTCTCAACTGGCAGGTGGGGGAGGTCTGTGCCAACTAAGTAGGCTAAGGGGGCCCCCTGCCCAAAAGACCCCAGCCCAGGCCCACAGGCTTCCATCTCATTGTAGCTGCTGCTGAGAGGGGCATCCTCTCTGGCAAGACCTCAGAGCAGGCAGCAGAGAATCTGGGGACCCTAAGAAAGCCAACAAGATGAGACACACTTGCTGGCCACTCTCACCTCTGGGTCCAGCCAGCAGGGGTAGGACAGGCAAGTGTCATGATCCCTGGGACAGACTGCAGGGTCCAGCCAGTAAGACGGGGTGCCAGGGTCCTCTGTAGCCTTGAGTGAGGCTTTGATATCTCTGCACCCATTCAGCAGCTCAGGGTAAGTGACAGTTGACAAGAATGTGCTATGCTTGGTGCTCGACATCCACCCTGCCCCATCCACACAGGTTCTCACCTCACACCACAGCCCAGAGAGAAATAGGTTCCCAGCCAAGGTCACAGCTGAGGAGTGAGAAGATGAGTGGAAAACAAGTCTCCTGGTCTGGGTGAGCTCTGTTCCCCAACACTTACTGCTTTGGACAAACCAGTTGCTCTAAGCGGAGGTGACCCCATTTCCACCAGCATGTCTGACATAACACTTTTTTTTCAGGGACCTGGCTATCTCAAACTACCAGCCTTATCTTTTCCATCTCAGGACTGGCTAGGAGCCTAGACTTCTGAACCAATCCTTGCTCCCTGGCCTCAGGGGAGGGACACACAGGTTTAGCCCCTGAAGCCTATTCTACACCCAGCTGGTACTGACCCAGTCTGAGTGCCTTTGACCACATGGTCCCATTTTCCCTACTCTGGCCCTCTGGCACCTCAATTTGGGGGAGTGGTGGCTAACCCAGCTCCAGGGATTTGGGTTCCTTAATATCTTGCTCCCTCACCTGCCCACTTGGGTCTACCTTGCCCATATGCTGCAGGGGGCCAGGGCACTTTGGTCCCTGCTGAAAACCACACTCCCTGTCTGCATCCTGTCCCTCCCTCCTCTGGCTAGCTGAGAAAAGGGATGTGGGCCATCCTCTGTCTGCCTCTCTTCTCAGTCTCCATGGGAAGGTCTTTGTAAGTAGGGGACAGAGATGTCCCCTTTCTCCAGGGGTGTAGAAAGCCCCAGACCTCCACTTGAAGGTCTATCCACCAGGTCCCCACCTGGAAGGTGAAGTTGGCTAAAGATTAACTCATGCTTCCAACACACCCAGAAGCCACAGGTTTGAAATGTACTTTAATTGGCTTTTGTCTCCCAAATTCCCCATCCATGCCTGGGCTCTAGGGTTCTCCATGTCCCCTCCAGTTTAGGGGTCCAAACCGAGCATGAGCAGCACAAGGGGGGCAAGAAGTCTCCTGGCATAAAGGAGGGGTCTCCCTGGCAAGTGGTCCCAGAGCCCAGAACCCCATGGCCCAGTTACAAGCACACATCTGAAAGCATTCTTAATGGAGCAGATGGGCATCGTCCGCCTCCAGATCACTGCGGCACAGGCGGTGAGCGTGGGCCAGGCAGGGGCACTGACAGTGAGGCGTGGTCGAACAGGGGGTTGCGCACTTCCATCTCCCCCGTCTGCAAAGGTGGGCATTAGGTGGGCAGTGCCCTGGGAGTGGGAGATACCCTGCTGGGGAGGGACCTTCACCCATGAGCTGGCAGCCCCTCTGTAGGGCCACACTCACCGGGGCCAGGCCAGGGCACTCGTACACCGTGAAGTCACCATCTTCGTTCTCCTCGTCAGAGGATGCTGAATCCAGCTCCTTGGGCTCTTTATGCCTGGGTAGGGGGCGGGATTGCTGGGTCCTCCCCTCACCCTCCAGGTGCCTGTGGCCCAAACTGGAAGTGGGCACTCAGCCCACTGCGGCCCAGGCTAGGGGGTGGGGAGTGGGAGGGGGCTCACCGCTCCAGGCTTAGCATCTGCTGCCTCTGGTGCTGGTAGTGGTACATCTCCGCGCTGTGTGCCAGCCGCTGGTCACCAGGCTGCAGGTGCAGGGCAAAGGTCAGGTCTCAGCCCCAGGGTGGTGGGAGCCAGGGGGCTGGGAACAGGGCCACGCACCGACATCCGAGGTGCCACAGGGGAGCTGGGAGCCTTTGGGGCTGCATAGTCTGCCTTCTGGGTCAGGTGGATGGCCCGCTGCAGCCTGTGGGGAATGGGAAACCTTTGTGTGCAGGTGCCGCCCTGCCCAGCCTGGCCCAGCCCCGAGGGCCCACCATGCTTACCTGCACCAGCACACAGTTGCCATGGCAAGGGCAGCGCCACCAGCCACACAGAAGGCCACAATCAGCACTGTGGGGGGTGGGGGATGGCACCATAAGTGTGGCCTTTTCTTTGCAGGGTGGGGCTCCCTTCCTCCCCCGCAGCCATGACCTACCAAAGGTGAGGCTGTCCCTGTGCTCATGCCGGGGCTCCAGGGGGGACATGTGCACTGGCCCAGAGGACACAGGGGAGCCCCAGGAGGTATGGGACGTGGGAACAGGGGCTCCCTGCGTCGACAGGAGACCAGGTTCAAGTCCTTGACCCAGCTCTGAGAACCCCAGAGTGGCTGCTGAGAGAGGGGGCCATTTAGAACTTTAGCACCAGGCTGGGACCAAGGGCAGTGGGGACAAGAAAGTTGGGGGTGTCTCACCAGCCTCTGGGAGCCGCTGTCTGGCCTTGGGCAGGGGCGGAGCTGTGAGACTCCAATGCCCTGCCCCTTTCCGGGCTAATTTCTGGGCCAGGAAGTCAATCTCATCTTCCAGTCTGGGTTGAGACCGGTCCTTCCCTGGGGAGGGGGAGGGGCCATCAGGTGGGGAGGCCCCCAGCATTTCATGATGACACAGCTGTAGATGGTCTTCCAAGATGGAGAGGCCCGTCCAGGAGGCCAGGCCCTCCATTCCCCTTCCAGGGTCCTCCCAGGTACTGGCAGCCAGAGGACTTGGTACCAGCCCGTAGGCCCATCCATCCTGGGTTGTCATGGTGACAACTGAGGGCCTTCAGGTGAGCAGCAGTGGCTCAGGAAAAATGGGGTTGGGACAAGGAGGAGAAGATGCTGGGGGAATGTACAAAAACCAGGCAGGGAGAGAAGAAAGAGTTATCCATAAAGGGATCAGTGGAGCATTGAATAGCAACCCCTTTACCCCTTCCCATCTCCAAGTACCTTCTCTGGTGAGAGGGACAGTGACAGCGAGAGGAGTAGGGAGGAGGTGAAAGTAAGCCCAAGTATCTAGGTCCCCACCCCAGGTCACCAGGAGAGAGGAGCAGTTGTCACAGGCAGGGCTGATGGCAGGGCCCCATTGGGCCCTACTGTGAACTTCCTAATCCATACAGAAGCTCCCAGATGCTCACACAAACACTGAAAGAGGGCAACCCTTCTAGGGCAGACCCCAATCACTGCTTCTCAGTGCCCTCTACAACACACCCTCTCAAGAGGACCCCCAGCACCTGGCTCAAGGCCAATGCTCTTAAACCTTTGTCACTGAATGGACAGGATGGGTAGGTACACAAAGAGCAGGTGCCCAGGGAGTGAGGAAGCAGATGCTCAGAGGTGTTTAGGGTAGATTCTGTGGAGCTCAGGCCTGGGGAATTCTCACCCCTCCTCTCCTGAGGCCACCCCAGCATTTCTCCCTGGACACCTCTTGCTCTGGGAAGAGCTAACTGCCCCAGGCCCCAGTCTAGCTCCAGGCTCTGAGCCAACATCTGGAAAGGCCTGGGAGGCCACTTGGAGAGTGATGTGAGAATCCTCCAAGGATCCAAGGACTCACAAAATTCAGGGACCTGTTGGCCACTGTCACAGAGCTTGGAGCTGAGGCTCAGAGCTTCTTAGGGCTAGATATATATGTGTCAAGGTGGGAGAGGAAAGGTTTAGAAGGACATCCTGTCCATTGACTTCCCAGCATCTGTGGTCTCCCATACCCGGAGGCTGTCGAACCCTGAGCACACAGAGCCCTTGCTGGTCCTCCTGGAAGGGCCGCAGACAAGGCCCACAGGCATGGGCTCCCGGGGGACACCTTGCCCGTCTCTTCAGGGCACAGTCCAGGCTCCCAGGGCAGGCAGCCACATCTGGAAGGAAGCAAAGGCAGGGCGGAATCATGGCCCTGAACAGCTTGGCCCCTGCCCAGCCTCAGCACCACCTCCACCACCACCCCTGCTCCTCCCCCACAGAGCTGGCCAGGCCTGGCTATGGCCATTGTTCTAGGTAGGTCCTTCCTCCCTATTCCCAGGGCTCAGAACCAGGAAGCAAACAGGCCCAAGGCTTATCAGAACTATTCTGCTCCATCTACTCCCCAGGGTCTGCCTTCTAGGCCTGATCGAGATCCTCCATAGGAAAACTGGCCCTCACTGTCCCAGCAGCTCAGAGCTCTCCTGAGCAGGGCTGTGCAGCCTCATAAGTCCAGCCTGTGGCCTCAGCATGCCCTAAGGGCAGGGCTCTCTCAGGAGCGGCACACAGTGCTAGCCAGCCACCTCTCTCACATGTCAGGGCTGCCCCCCAAGCCCCACCACAGAGCCAATACCCAGCCCAGAAGATGGTTACTGCCCCAGTCTAGCCTCTGGCTTGTCTCCAGGGCACAGAGATCTAAGATAGAGTCTACTGGCCTCACTTCTTTCAGACACAGAACCCAGGCTCGGTTACTCTGGCAGCCACACCACCAAAGTTCACAGTCAGGAGCCAGGTGGTACCCCAGGTCCTTAGGAGGCCTGAGCTGGGCAGTAATGGGAACTCAGGCCCTACTGGTTTCCTAGGCCCTAACAATTGCATCTCCCTGGTCAAGAGCCCAGACCATGGTGTCCTGCCTATACACATGGCTAATTGGTCCATCCTGATGCTGGCAGATGGGCGACAATGGTCCTCACTTTCCCCTCTGGAAGCAGCTGAGTTGCCTCTGAGCCAAGGAATGTGCTGAGGCCTAGGACTCTGGCCCTAGCCACAGTTAGCCAGTGGAGCCAGGGAGGTAGCCCACAGGACCTCCAACCCTGCTTAGGGGTGGTCCGGGTGTCTCAGGCCAACCAGGATCCTTCCTCTCAGCCCAGGCTTCTGCCCTGGGGCAGGCAGGGCCACCTAGGCCCAGCAGGAAATGGGGGACCTTGGCTGGCCTGGGTGGGTTTCCTTGGTAACCTGATACTCAGGCTGTAGGCACTCCTTTGAGGAAGTCCCAGCAACCCCAATAGTAGGGGGGTACTGTGAATACTGGGCATCCCTCACCCTCCAGACCCTAGATTAGCAGCTTTCAGTATCTGTAGGCTGGGCCTGGGGCTTGGCTAGTTACATATTAAGCCTGAATCAGCAGGCTGGACCCACCCACCAGCTGGTCACTGGGAAGCCAGACAGTCCCTGCCCCTGGTTCTTTTTTTTTTTGTAGAGACAGAGTCTCACTTTATCGCCCTCCATAGAGTGTTGTGGCTTCACACAGCTCACAGCAACCTCCAACTCCTGGGCTTAGGCAATTCTCTTGTCTCAGCCTCCTGAGTAGCTGGGACTACAGGCACCTGAAACAACGCCTGGCTATTTTTTTGTTGCAGTTTGGCCTGGGGCCGGGTTTGCACCCACCACCCTCGGTATATGGGGCTGGCGCCATACACACTGAGCCACAGGCACCGTCCACCTGCCCCTGGTTCTGATAACCCAGAGTTCACAGTGGTTCTGCAGTCTGTGTTCCAGAGGCCTCCCTAGCTCCCCAGTAGGATGCAGGTGCTCTTTCATGTTGAAGAGGAAGCCACCCCTCTAGCTTTGAGGTGGGGAAGGAGGTCCCAGCTGGAAAGTGGCTGGCACATCTGGGCTACCTGAGGACCCCCCCTAAGCACTGGGCACTAGGGGTAGGAGGGGCTGCCTAGGGAGCGGTCCTGCCAGGTCTCCAAATCAGATGACATAAAGCTAAAGAAGGGATGCACTGAGGGATGGCACCTGCCCACCCCAGGCTCAGCACAGCTGTCGCAGTACCATTTCCTCAGAAGACAGCCTCCACCATCCGCCAGTCATACTCCACCCCCAGGCTTCCTCAGAAGCCCCTTCTGGTCATGTCAACCTCCTGTCCCAAGGGCACTGCACCCAGGAGGATGCTTGCTTTGGTCTGGCCTCTTAAGGTTGCACACACAGAACCAGATGGCCCAGGTTAGCATCCCAGTTGTACCACGTACCAGCCACTTAACTTCTCTGTGCCTCAGTTTCCTCATCTGTAAAATGGGCTAATAGCCACTCTCCTACAGGGCAAGGAGAATTGAGTGAATGTCTCCCAGTTCAGAATCTTTCAGGAGAAGGTGAGGTGTTAGTTTTTTTTGTTGTTGTTGCAGTTTGTGGCCAGGGTGGGGTTTGAACCCACCACCTCCACTAGCACATGGGGCCGGTGCCCTACTCCTTTGAGCCACAGATGCCATCCCAGTTTTTTTGTTTGTTTATTTGCAGTTATTGGCCAGGGTCAGGTCTGAACCCACCACCTCCAGTATATGGGGCCAGTGCCCTATTCCTTTGAGCCACAGGCAGGGCCCCATTTTTTTTTTTTTTTTT